TGACAATGTCCATGAAGCACTGTCTACTACCTTGGATAGTGCGACACGCATGGACGGTAAATCGCTACGTCATCCACTCAGACGGCTACACAAGCTTCGAAGGCCGCTGGGGAAGAAACTACGAGCGAGCAATTTGCGAATTTGGCGAGACACTACTTTACCTTCCACCACAACATAAGAAACTTCCAAAAGCAGACCTACGGATGCAGAAATGCATCTGGCTCGGAAAAGTTTCCGAAACCGGAGAAATCTACGTCGCAACGGAAGCAGGCGTACAAAAAGTACGAACAGTACGAAGACTACAGCCAGACTTCAAATACGACCTCGCACGGTTAAACAAAGTTTCCGGCGCACCCTGGGCACCACGACGGAACACCTACAACCCATCATTTGCAACACTGTTGGACACGCAACTACAATCGTCAGAGAAGAGACGGTCCACGCAAGACTTCGGACTAAAGACGAACGTGACGGACGACGTCGTCGTGGAACCCGCAACAAAACAACAACGCGCTACACCACCTCCACGACTTCCGTCTACATCGGCGTCAAGTTCACGACCGCTACCGGATAGCCCTATGGCTACTTCACCAACCGGACGACAACATCCACCACTACCAGCACCACCTCGACAAACACTAAGACGCTTGACTCCGGAAGAAGTAATGCAACCAACCAAAGCACAGAAGACCTCAAAGGACACCACAATCAGATCAACGGACAAGCAACCAACGAGCCACAACCACTACGACAGAAAATCAACGCAGTGACACTTCCAACGGAACATCCATGACTTCCTACACAAACGACGACACCTCCGAAGACCAACCCATAATCTTCGACAACGAGGGTTATGACGAAACACAACTACTGGAAGGAATGAAACAGGAGTCAAACCAAATGAAACTACATGACGTCTACGACGAAGTAGATGCGTTTACAGTCGACGACAATGTCATCAGAGAAGCAATACCTACGAGATGGGTCCACAGAAAGAAAGGGCCAGGAGAGAAGATCGAGGATGAAGACTCCGCCTACGCCTCTACACCAATGTTCACGACACCTCTGGCCACCTAAAGAACTCTGTCCACAACAGGATAAAATATGGCGGCTAAGGAAAGCCATGCGTGGACTACGCAGTTCACCAAAAGCGTGGCAGGACTACCTGGCTGAAGTGTCACATAAGACTAAAGTCAGAACCTAATGTCTGCACCAATGCGACTCGCGACTGCTACATCATGACGATCTACTGGTACTTGGAGACAAGACTACGGTTGACTCCATCTTCGAGGCCATCCAGAAGCAGGTTCTACTCAAGCGCACTGGCTACCTCGAGCCTGGCAAACCACAACAATTCCTGGGAAGAAACATCGACCACTTCGGTAACTACCGCAACCTTGGACTAGAGGACTCCTACATCGACAACATGATCGAGGAGTCTGGAATGACCAGCTGCAACACGGTGACCGCTCCAGGAATTGCCCACTACAAACCAACAATAGAGGATGAAGCACTTCTTGACCACGAACAACACAAAAGGTACAGAAGGATTGTTGGCAAAATCCAATGGTTAGCATCCACACGACCAGACATCGCACACGCTGCAAAAGAACTTCAAACACTTACCACGCTACCTGCACGGCACCAAACACTAAAAATTCACCATAGAACCAACAACAACACTCAGAGCAAACACCAACAACATCCTGGATCTTGACGTTCATGTCGATGGTGACTGGGCAGGATGCCCTACTACCAGGAAATCAACATCAGGTTTCAACATCATCTTTCTAGGAACAACAGTTGCATTTGGCAGCAGAACACAAGCTACAATAGCACTCAGCTCAGCAGAGTCTGAACTCTACGCCATTTGCACAGGAGCCAATTAGGGACTACACCTCAGAAACTTCCTACTTGAAACCAACATTTGCAGCAAGCTAAACCTACGCATCCACACAGACTCCACAGCAGGCAAGAGCATTGCTACACGACAAGGCGCAAGCAAACGAGCAAAGCGCATCGACCTCAAATGTCTCTACACACAAGACCTCATCAAACACGACGTCATCAGAAGCCTTAAGATCAACACACTCCACAACAGCGCAGATTTGTTTGCCAAATACATCAGCAAGGAAACACTGCACAGGCTCATTCAGAGCATTGGGACACGCATTTAGCACTACGAACGACCAGCGCAACAGTTTCACAACAACAACAACAACAACAACAACAACAACAACAACAACAACAACAACAACAACAACAACAACAACAACAACAACAACAACAACAACAACAACATCAACGACTTTGAACATTTTTTGTATGTAAGTATCTACATGTAACACGCCACTTTTGGTATGTAAGTAACAGTAACTACATGTAATTCCACTCGCACTTTGGCGGCTTGAGTCAACACTACAGCTGTTTGTTTTACATGTTTGCATGCGCCGCCTGCCTGATAGCGACTACTCAGGCTCATTTGTTTTGCCCCGTTTCACTACATTTGCATTCCACTGCAGCAATAAGCCTGCTACACCTGAGGCGGCGGTCACTACTGACACCAGTGATCAAGGAACACCGCCTCCTCACAACTACACCGAGGCCAACCACCGCTTCAACCACTCCACGCCTGGCGCTACGGCTTACTACAACCCGGCAACCGTCATGGAGCAACTACACCTCACAGAGTACCAGACTACCACTTGGCCACCGCTGCACAACAACACTCCCCACGCTCAACTTTCACTGCACTTACACTTGAAGAGTGTCAACTACTCTCACAACAACAAGCAACTCCACTTTCACAACATGACTACACACGACCCATTCACTGCATCCCAGGAGACTACAATTCCACACTGCTCAGTATCTCACTACCTGAGGCAGCCAATGTTCTCTACTATCACACAACTTCACTGCGCACCACAACCAACAACAACTACACCTACGTCATTGTTCAACTACAGGTTGAACAACAACTCTTTGTGAGGCATCTTACCTCTGGACAATTTGTCCACTTCACAAGGGACTACATCTCCTACATCATGTCAATCCAGAATAACTTCTACCTTCCAACTACACAACACCCACAACTTGTCTACAAGGTGGAGTGTGACATGAGTACTTTCACCGACACCTACAGCCTGAAGAACAACTACATTTGGAACTACTGCACGCCACAACTACTACCGGACCTCCTACACTACCTCAACAACCGCGACCAACTACATGACTTCCAACACAAAGCCATCACTACAATCCTTTGCAAAAGCATTCAATACTACGGCTTCGCACTACTGACAATGACCAACCTGACACAACAACACAAGACCCAACTACATTGTTTTCTCAGGGACTACGATCAACACATGACCTGTTCTGAGACTGATGATGAAAGACTACGCGGCGCCCCCAACTACATGACCAGCTTTTTCACCACGCACTATTTTGCAACCTTGGACAGTCGACTACAGATGGTTTCCAGCCTACAGGGCCCGCACTGGGCACTACATGCCTGAGCAAGGAGCTCAGCTACATCAGGTAACTGCCTCACGATCTCCATCCACCGCACTAGTCCTGGACCATGAGTCGCGTGAGCTACTGAGAGCAGCGCCTACCTTTGTCACTACAGTAGCATTGATGAACAACAATGGTTTTCATCACTATTGCCAATCCATGATTTGCACTTCAGTTGAAAAGGTGCTACAGAAAAGACCTTTCAACTGAGGGGCCGTGTCAAACTACATGCTTCACTTCTTGCACTTGTGTTGCATGCATGTGCACTACTGCAGGCCTTGAGCTAACTACGACTGCATTAGTGAAAAGGTTGGCAGCTGCAGACTACATTGGTTTATGTTTGTGAGAACACTACAGCACTTGCACTCGTACTAAAAGTAACGACCAATTTTAACGAAAGAGAGAGAGAGAGAGACTAGGTCCTCCAGTAGAGAGGTTAGAACGAGGGTACTTACCCTTTTTCGGTAGAGGGGTGTGGACAGGATGGAGACAGAAAGAGACAGAGAAACAGAGAGAGAGAGAGAGAGAGAGAGAGACAGATAGAGAGAGACAGAGAGAGGGAGATTGAGGAGAGGGGGGATGGGGAGGATCGGGAGCGGAGGGAGGGAGAGAGGACAACAGAACACACAAGGGAGACAAGGGAGAGATGAAGAAGGAGAAAAGGGAGAGGACAATGTCGGCGGAGTGAGCCGGAGGCTCTAAAGTTTAAACCATTGTAAATTGATGCTGAGAAGCTAGCCGAGGCATGGATAAAAGCCCGCAATTGTTGCTAAACTGAGGTTCTGGAGTGGGAAACTTACAGGGCCCGAACCGATACTCAAACCGATACCCAGTGAATACCTAACCTCTTCTCATGCTGACAAAATCAACAAACTGCCCAGTAGCACGCTGCGACTTTGGCTTGCTATCTTCGCACCAACTCCTTTAAATCCTCTTCCTGACGACCGAACCTGCTTTTGAGTCACTCGAAAAGCCCGTGCGCCGCTGCTTGCAGCCTGTTTTTCCCGTAACGCACTCAGCTACTCGTAGACCCCACCATATTGTAAACCGGTGCTGATACTAAGATACGAGGGTACAAAGGTTTAGTACAGGGCTTTAAAATTTCCTGTGACACAAACGTGTGAGCTGGAGTGCACCACACACATATACGACACACGACGTATATTTTATAATATTTTCATTTGCAGATGTGTGCATGTAGCGTGCAGTGTGGGCAGCCATGCGAGATTTCTTTGGGCAAGAGTACCTTCCCCATGTATTGTATTATGCCTACAACTCAATGTTTGGGTGTGCCAGAAAACAAGGCAGATGACGCGCATTGCAGTGGTTAATCGTGAAACGGCAGACCAGCTTCACAATGCAACCCTGGCATAGCTCGCTTTGTTTTGGCACGCTAATTTCTGTCAGAATATCCACTGGACACGGTGTTGATGCCGCATGCACTGTCACTCACTACATTGACCAGCAAAACTCACCGCCAGGCATGATTTTCCTAAACCAGACGCCAAACCCACCTCCTCTTCGTGATGCCTTGGGAGATTTGCCGGAGAAGCTGACGCGCTATGATTTGGAGCGGGGCTGAGAAGCTACCCTTAACTCAAAGTGAGGCTTGCCAATAATTAAGCTTTATTTGCGAAAGGACGATATGCAATTGTTCAAGCAGAAAAAGTACGACATTGCAGGCAGGCCTGGCGCTGCAGCCTTGCGGGCGAGTGCACTGTGTCAGGTGACTGGAAGCTGATCGCCGAGAACTTTGTGGACTTTTACCACATAGATGCAGTCCATCCGGAGCTATCAAGGCCTTACTCCATCCGCAGCTTGTGGGGTATTGCTTGCGGCAAGGTTCTCCCGCGTAGATGATCACCAGCCATATCAAGGCTGCAATGGCCAGATGTGATGCCATGGTCAAAGCACCTGCCGACTTGCTTGCAGAGCATCAGGGCGTAAATCAACTGTGACTCCTTACGAAGATCTTTAGTCTTTCAACCTTCGTTTGGCTTGTTGAGCCATGGTTCCGGCAGGCGGCGGCCAGTACGTGGGCTTTGTGACGTCCCCCTTGACAGACTGCGGAGGGCCTGGAGCGAGGGCCTCAGGCCTCAACGTCTGAGTCCGAGACTCATGTGGGCCGGAGTCTTGGCTTCTCCGTTGGCAAACTCTGCGGTGCGTGTGGAAGCTTTTGCCAAGCTGAGGACAAAATCAACTTCAACTCGTTTCCCAGATTGCGAGCCATCGAGTGGGAAGCTTGCCCCTGTCACATTGCTCAAGGCTTCATTTGTGCCATCCGAGGTCTAACTCCGCACTGTTCTTCCACATTTTTCCCAATGTGTCAGCCGAGACCTGCAGTTGTCCAGAGTGTGTGATTCTGTAGGCAAGAAGCGCTTCACATGTCCCACCCAAGTGCGTGCTCACGCCTCAGGTTACAATCTATCCTCACTCAGCCTGTGCCTGAATGACTCGAGAAATGTTTCCCAAGCGATGCGGAGTCATCGCTGCTAGCCTTGCTCTCGCGAACCCGTTGAGAATGTTTCACCCAAGGTGTATACATTGCTGACCCTGCCATCTGGTGCGCACGGACGGACGCAGGAGTTGTTTGTGGCAGATGCAATGCTGCTTGTAACGGATTCGCTCTGTACACAGGCACTCTGCTGTGAACACCTGTTTCATGCTGCGCAGGAGCAGCTCACTCTGCTAATGTCACCAGAAGCGAGAAAGAATGACACGTCGCAAGACGAGCAGCATGCCCGAGAACAGTGAGGATGAATGGCTTATGATGTGTAGGCTTTGATCTTTCAGTGCACTTAGCTCGCTACCAGGTATCACGAGAGGTGTGATGCGTTGATGAAATTTGTGGTGAACATCAACGACGAGGACGAAAGACTCCACATTGTTTCCGAGTCAAGTAGCGGCATGGATGTTTCGGTCGCTTGCAAGTGGCAAGGCTCAACAACTGACCGACCTAAGACTCCAAGACAATCCAAGACGCCAATGCTTCTGTTGTTGTTTGGGCTTTAATGTTAGATGTGGTGCCAGACCTTGAAGGCGAAGTCGTGCTAATTTGGCAAGGATGTGGATGCCATTGAGAATCTGCAACAGGGGTTGTCCAACCTGGAAGGACAAGGCTGTATTCGCGTTTCGCAGGTGGTTACAGTTTTACTCACATTGCATGCGCATGGGCCGCGCGACTAAGCCCCTGTGACGCACCTTAGAGCTTAGCAAGTTCAAAGGCTGCCGCCCTGTGCCGCCAACTCCTGTGCCTTCTTGAGATTGTTGTTTTCAGTCGACTGGGAGTCTTAGACTTCAGGATTGTCCGAGTTTCGGTTTTATGCGCCTCGGGATTTTGATTTCTTGTTGTTTTGGCGGTGGCTGTGTTTCCCATGTAAGAGGCGTGACATGTTTAAGCTTGCCCAACTGAAATAACATGTTAATCACTTCTGCGTCCGAGCTCCAAGACATCAGTGCCTCTAGATGCTTCGAGTAAACCAGCTTTACTTTCTTGGTCTGGAGTTGAGGAGCTCTGGATGGTTGGTTGGTTGGTTGGTTGGTTGGTTGGTTGGTTGGTTGGTTGGTTGCTTGGTTGCTTGGTTGCTTGGTTGCTTGGTTGCTTGGTTGCTTGGTTGCTTGGTTGCTTGGTTGCTTGGTTGCTTGGTTGCTTGGTTGCTTGGTAGCTTGGTAGCTTGGTAGCTTGGTTGCTTGGCTGCTTGGCTGCTTGGTTGCTTGGTTGCTTGGTTGCTTGGTTGCTTGGTTGCTTGGTTGCTTGCTTTCTTGCTTGCTTGGTTGGTTGGTTGGTTGGTTGTGTGTTTGTTAGTTGTGTGTGTTTGTTGGTTGTGTGTGTTTGTTGATTTTGTGTGTGTGTGTGTTTGTTGGTTGTGTGTGTGTTTGTGGTTGTTTGTTGTGTACTGTGTGTTGTGTGTTACATGTTGGGGGTTGTGTGGTGTTGTTTGTTGTTTGTTGTTTGTTGTTTATTCTTTGTTTGTTTGTTGTTTGATATTTGCTGTTTGCTTGTTCGTTTGTTTTGTTTGTTTGTTTGTTTGTTTGTTGTTTGGTTGGTTGGTTGGTTTGCTGGATTGTTGGTTTGTTGGCTTCATTGGTTGGTTGGTTGGTTGGTTGGTTGTTGTTTGTGTTTTTTGTTGTTGTTTTTGTTGTGTTTGTTGTTGTTGCTGTTGCTGTTGCTGTTGCTGTTGCTGTTGGTGTTGGTGTTGGTGTTGGTGTCGGTGTTGGTGTTGGTGTTGGTGGTTGTTGGTTATTGCTGTTGGTGGTTGTTGATTGTTTTTGCTAATTGTTGTTGTTTGCTGGTTGTTGCTGGTTGTTGGTTGGTTGTTGTTATTTGTTGTTAGTTGTTGTTGGTTGTTGTTGGTTGTTGTTCTATTTGTTGTTGTTCTCTTTGTTGTTGTTCTTGTTGTTGTTCTTGTTGTTGTTGTTGCTGCTGCTGTTGTTGTTGTTGTTGTTGTTGTTGTTGTTGTTGTTGTTGTTGTTGTTGTTGTTGTTGTTGTTGTTGTTGTTGTTGTTGTTGTTGTTGTTGTTGGTTGTTGTTGGTTGTTGGTGGTTGTTGTTGGTTGTTGGTGGTTGTTGTTGGCTGTTGTTGGCTGTTGTTGGCTGTTGTTGGTTGCTGGTTGTCGTGGGTTGTTGCTGGTTGTTGCTGGTTGTTGGTTGGTTGTTGTTATTTGTTGTTAGTTGTTGTTGGTTGTTGTTGGTTGTTGTTCTATGTGTTGTTGTTCTCTTTGTTGTTGTTCTTGTTGTTGTTCTTGTTGTTGTTGTTGTTGCGGTTGTTGTTGTTGTTGTTGTTGTTGTTGTGGTTGTGGTTGTTGTTGTTGTTGTTGTTGTCGTTGTCGTTGTCGTTGTCGTTGTCGTTGTTGTTGTTGTTGTTGCTGCTGCTGCTGCTGATGTTGTTCTTCCCCACCCGACAGGAAGGGGTTGTTAGATTTTTTCCCCGAACGCATTGCGAAGGGTTCTTCCGTGCGGAGCTCTTGGTCGACTTGCGCAGCTACTCTGCGCAAGTTGACCAGCATGGAGATACCAGCATGGCGATACTCGCGCAGATTTACTAACACAGAGTAGCTTGCACAGAGTTACCAGCAGGGAGATACTCGAGCTCTTTCTCTTTCTTTCCCGCGCGTTAAGCGCTTAACCTAACTTACTTAACCTAGCTTACACAGCTGCTAACGCCGAGCCTCTACACCTAGCTTAGCTTAGCTCTATGCACCTAATACGCACTTGGCTCTATGCACCTGGCTCGATGCACTTCGCTCTTTGCACTGGCTCTGTGCACTTAGCTCTGTGCACTTGGCTCCTTGCACCTTGCTCTTTGCACTTCGCGCTGAGCACTTGGCCCTATGCGCTTGGCTCTGCGCAAGTAACTCTATGCTGGTGACTCTATGCTGGTGCCTCTGTGCAAGTATCTCCATGCTGGTGACTCTGCGCAAGTATCTCCATGCTGACATCTCCATGCTGGTGACTCTATTAAGAATCTCTTTTAAGGCGGGGGGTGGGGATGTTGCCGGCGATCGGGAATGCGACCCTCTGCGGAGATCGGCGTGGTCGAGGTGCAAAAACTCGAGGTTTTTTGTTTGCGTTTTTTGATATTCCCGCGCGACTCTCTGCGGAGATCGGCGTGGCCGAGGTGCAAAAACTCGAGGTTTTTTGCGTTTTTTGATATGCCCGCGCGACCTTCTGCGGAGATCGGCGTGGTCGAGGTGCAAAAACTCGAGGTTTTTTTTGCGTTTTTTGGTATGCCCGCGCGACCCTCTGCGGAGATCGGCGTGGTCGAGGTGCAAAAACTCGAGTTTTTTTGCGTTTTTTGATATGCCCGCGCGACCTTCTGCGGAGATCGGCGTGGTCGAGGTGCAAAAACTCAAGGTTTTTTGTGTTTTTTGGTGTGCCCGCGCGACCCTGTGCGGAGATCGGCGTGTTCAAGGTGCAAAAACACGAGGTTTTTGCGTTTTTTTGCGGTGCCCGCGCGACCCTCTGCGAAAATCGGCGTGGTCGAGGTGCAAAAACTCGAGGTTTTTTGCGTTTTTTGGTGTGCCCGCGCGACCCTCTGCGGAGATCGGCGTGGTCGAGGTGCAAAAACTCGAGGTTTTTTTGCATTTTTTGATATGCCCGCACGACCCTCTGCGGAGATCGGCGTGGTCGAGGTGCAAAAACTCGAGTTTTTTTTTGCGTTTTTTGGTGTGCCCGCGCGACCCTCTGCGGAGATCGGCGTGTTCAAGGTGCAAAAACTCCAGGTTTTTTTGCGTCTTTTGCGGTGCCCGCGCGACCCTCTGCGGAGATCGTGCGTGTCGAAGCGCTCTTGCTGTGGTGCCTCTCGAATTCTTCTTAGTCTCGAAGCGCTCTCGCTGTGGCGCCGTGCGATTTTGTTGCTCGCGAAATGGCCTTTGGCAATCTCGCGGTTGCGGGTTCGATTCCCCCCTGGTCCGGGGCAGCTCCGGCTTGAAAATCGCAGCTTTTAAGTAGAAACGTGGTACGCGGAGCGTGCTCCTGCAGCTCCGGCTGGAAAATCGCGTACGTGGGGGACCCCCCCCCCTCCCCCCCCCCCAAAAAAAAAACCTACGTAATAGACGTCGGGCGGGGGGGGGTTAGGGGGGGGGGTTATCCTCTATCCTCTAGTAAGTATCCGACACGCCGAGCAATGTCGGTGGATTTGACCAGTTTTTACGGTTTTAAAGCGGTTTGATCGTTTTTTTTTAGAAGATCGCGAAGAGGGTCTGCAACCGTGGGGGGCTGAGGAGAATTTGATGGGCACATTCCCCGCCACGCTGCCAGGCTTCCAGGGTGGAATCGAACCCTAGGCCCTAGACATTGCCAAAAACAGGCGCACGCATTCGCTCGAACGCCGCAGAACCTGGCCCGAGATGGATATAGGTCGGTCTGGGCACAAGTGTCGACTGTAACATTAACCTCCGGTATATTATATGGCAGTCGTCCGAAAGGTCCTTGTATTCAGGCTTGAAGGGGATGACCTTTTTGTCTTAGTGTTGCCCTCCGCGAAAACTTCGCGATGGAGGTCGCGAAAGTTTTGTGTAGGGTGGTACAATTAGTCGGGGGAAAGCGCGGCCTGAGGATTGCCGCCGAGGATTTCGTCGCTGCCTCATAATCAGCATCCCCCGCATCCCCACCAGCACACCACGTTGGTTCAACACCGCCTGCCTCGCCCTCTTTCGAGCAACATTTTTTTTAAAATATATATATATATAATTACGGGGTGTGAATTCCGTGTCCTGACAGCCACCCATTCATCTCCCCCTTGGATGGGGTCGGCGGATTCACGGCCTTGGCACAGATGGCCTAGCTTCTTGACCTGCCAGACTTGCCCTGTCAGCTTTTGCGCTCTCGGCGCGGAGGTCAGATGTTGACTGCCACTTTTCCAGTAGACGGCTGCGGGGTGCCTTTGTAAGCCAATTTTTCATCCCAATGGCGGCCAAACACGGGCTTGCCCCTGTCAAGCCAAACACAACCCAATGGTTGTTCCAAATAGCCCACCACCACAGTTAGGGCAATTTCTCATATAAATGTTGCACCAATTGTCTCCAAAGAGGGCGTGCCCCAGTATGGCCGAACACCACCCAACATCTATCAAGGACAACCAGATTGTTGCTTGCCCGCGTCCTTCATGTAATGCTCCGTACTGTCAGGAAATGTAATGCAGCGTAACGCAACGCAATTTAATGTGATGCATGTTTCCCCCCACCCTTTCCTGCCACCTTCCAGCTTGAGGTTGGCAGATAGGGCCCTAAGCTGATCAACCTTGAGAACTGTTCTGCCTCACTGTGGTGCCAGGCATGCATGGTGAATTCATCCCAAAGTACGACTGGCCAGTGCACCGATTTCAGAACATGGTCTTGCTGACGTGTTTACCGTGCAGATACCTGCAGTGGCGTTCCAAAGCGCATGTCGAGTTCGTTTGCGAGCTTCACGCTACATGAAGGGAGCGCGTGCTTGTCATGCAATCACAGGTGCTAAGCGGCCTGCACGGCCATGCTTTGAATGAGGACTGATGCTGACCGCAGCAACCACACGATCGACTGACATTGCTGTCACATGCTATGGGCATGTTAATCTCAGTCGCAGTATGACCTTGCTTTACAGGGGGGGCAGAACTTGTGTTGCTGCGGCTTGCATAGGACAACATGCCAAAGCTTGCTAATGCGTTTGAGCAGAAGGCCTGGATATTAAGTGTGGGGCGCTATGCAAACCACTCAGAAAGGCGGTAGCTGGACAAGGGGGAGAGAGGGAGAGACGGATGGATGCCGCACTATGCAGTACTTTGCCAGCTCGATTTAGCCTCCCTGCCAGGTCCTCAGCGGCTGAGGTTCTGAAATGGCTCTGGGCGGCTGACCTACCCCAAACAGTTGAGTCTACGCTCTCTAGGTTTTCGAGGTAGGCAGATAGGAGGATGTGCGCAGCTTTGCACAATCTACTCGACGCCCCATGGGTGTTTGAAGTAGTACAACTAGGATGGCCTGAGCAGATGTACACTGTGTAGATAGCATCAAATCGTCATTGCGATGCCGCGAATTCATATTTTGGAGCGCTTCCAATCAATCAGTCAACAAGGTTTGCTTCTTTTGTTTGTGTAGGGCAGGTTCCATGAACCTGTGAATTGTTGCTGTATTGTTTTGGCAAGCTTCAGTGATGAAGTGCTAAACTATATGCACTCTTTCACGGAGTATATCATTCTGATGGTGGCATATCCTGTTTGCACTGCCGCGCCGGTGTTCTAGATGGGAGTGCATCCCTTTGGGCATTGGCCTTGCCACACGGAGCAGGCATGGTTGCTCATGTTGCATGACGTCTTCCTGGGCGTCGCGGCGCGTATTTTAATCGCTCCAATGAGGCTGACGATTTGTTTATTGGCTCCAGGGTGGCATGGATACATGTTTTGACCATATGGCCTAGGCCCAACCCTGTCAGAACGAAATGGACGGGAGGCAACCCTGGTCAGATCAAGCCAGCCATTTGGGAGCTTGACTGTATGGTCAAAGTGAGATGAGGGAAATACACCCCAAAGATCCCCTCAGCCGATCAGGCCCCGCCACCTGGTGTTACCAGGTGGGTTTCCGGCGGAGATGAAGGAACGCTTGCCTCATCCTGAGAGGCACGAAGCCATGCGTGTGTTTGTGTGTTTGTGTATCTGCAAAAAAAAAAGGTATGGCGCTCGGGTTCTGTACAGTAGAAAATACCTGCGAACAGATGCGTCCATTTGCGCAAAACTTAGAATACTTGGTTATACATTTCGATGGCTCAATGCTACATACCAGCTACCATGATTACGATGAGGTCATGAGACAAGACACTGCAAAGCATTGACAACCACCTCAGTCAGCACTGCATAGCGTTCCCTATGCTGCATGTGGTGCGTGTCTTGGCCGTGCCTGCCTTAGATTCCAGGCACTCAGAGGTTTAGCCCGGTTTGGCTTGCAAGAGACAACGGAGGTGGTAGGGCCTTGCAAAGAGCCCGTCAGCACTAGTCTGATTTTTGCGTGAGTCTTTACAGAATCGGAAGAGTAAACTATTTTTCATAGCCGCTCCAAGGTATTTCTTGTGCCGGCCGGAGCCAACAATGAGGCTACTGGTAGGCGCGGTGAAGGTGGTGTTTGGCACAAAGCCATCTGTTGGAATAAGCTTTCTGAGGCCATTTGATCATGGCACGCACGAGCAGATGTGGGACAGACAGCTGCAAGTTGCCACCGGGCAGGATAAGGACTGCTGCGCCATCGCTACAGCTTGCTAAACTTGATGTGTTTGATGCCAGGAGAACGAGAAAAGGGAAGACACTCAGCCGAGTTAACCAAGGGCCGCTTTTGTGTGTTGCCAGGTTTTTTGGCCACTGTGTAGATGTCACGAGTGTGACTGAGGTCGAGCGGGAGGACTGCATTTGCGTTGGCTCATTCCCATCGGACTGCAGGTGATTGCTCGTTTCAGGAGTTTGGCCATGAAGGGCAAGGAGTGGCCTACACCCTGCTGGGCATATCTGCCTTCGCCATGATGCGCCCCGTTTGCATTGAGCAGTCAAAGATTCATTGTGCCGGGGATGACAACTAATTGCATAGCGTGGGATTGCACATCTCGGGCAGAATTCACCGACTATGCTGATGCGCTTCAAATCCGTCCAAGTGCCTTCGAGCTGTGCAAATACCACGGTGGCTTGCTTCTTGTTGTTTTTGCAGTTCAGAAGGCATGGAGATTATGGAGCAAGACCGCAGCGTGCGTTCTTTTGGAATTGCCAGTTTACATGTCCCCAGTTTCGTTTCGTGCATAGGCGGGTCGCGCGGAAATTTGACTACAATCCGGGGTTTGTATTTCAACGGAGGCGCTTTCTAGTCCATTGATTGCCGCATTTCAGTCAAAGGCTTGCCAGGGATTTCATGCAAGCCCATCATTGTTGTCCTTGTCACACACACGTGCCAGACCTTTCAATTGAATCAGCTTATCATTGCTCACTTAAACAATCCCTCTTCGGAATGAAAGCAAGCAATACTTAAAGTCCCCCTCCCATCAACAGGTAAGGAGTTTGCACTCTAGTGAGTGGATCGCTGCCGGCGCTCAGCCATTCCTCACCAGGGGAACATTGGCACACGCACACACACACACTAATTCTGCCCTAAAGGCTCGCATAGTTGGGCTTGTCAGACTTAGAGCCAGTCACTTGGCTAATCGGACTCCGGCTTAAGTCAAACGGCCTCGCCTCGCCTCAGGACTGTGTACCTTGTGCACTGGAATGATGACGATGTGAGGCGCTACGCCTGGGAGGTCCTTAGTGCCTTGGGCGCTTTCAATGCGAAAGCAGTCGCAGGACTGGAGTCAAGCTTTGTTCCATATGTGGACAGTTTTGACAAGCGACTTGCATCACTGTGCAGGTATCGCTATTTCCACATTCACCTCTCTGTTTGGCTTCCGAAATATCCAGACGTGGCTATCTTATATGCTCGAGCTTGAAGCAGACAGCGGCCACTTGCCTGCCTTCAGGCGTTTGGCGCACAATCAGCCTTTGCTTCTGGCTGCCTGCTGCTTGTGCCCAAACAAGACAGGGGACTCAACACTTGTTTTGATTCAAGATGAGCCAAGGAGCAACGTGTGTTCTCGCGTATTTGTTGCTCCTTTTCTGAACTTGCGCCATGCCCGATGCAGAATGCAGCATGACAGGGATGTCACTTCAGTAAATGTCCAGAGTGTCGGATGCATGAACTTTACTCTTCCAGACATGGATGCTTTGCAGCTTGCGCTTGCCTGATTCCGTCATGTTTTGTCAAAGCATCTCGATGGCGACACCTTGACAAGCCAGGGATTTGCAGCAGCCAATCTTTAGGCTTCAACCTGTCGCATGTTTGGCATCAATATGGGTCCAGCAGCAAACCTTGTTGGTTCCAAGGTTCTTGATATGGTTCGGGCTTTTGCACGCCGTCATAGGCGCCGCGCATGGCCGTCGATCGATCCAAGCGATCGCAGGAATTGGACGGCTTCTGTTTGAAGCCATGCCCGGAGAAGGCTGAAGTGGCACCGTTTGGCTAGATGTCACACCTCAGTACCCCTTGGGCAATTTGTGCGAAGGCCATTTGAGGCTTTTGCGTGAGAGCAGCGCATATTCTGCAACTCTTGAGGCGAAAATCCACCAGTGCAATTGGCAATATCCACCCTGTTGTTTTGAACGTGAGCTGCGTGTGGCGGGCAAGTCAGCTTGCAATTGTAGGATAGCGAGACGACAGACATGGAATGGAACCCACATTGTCTGGCTGCAAAATAGGGCCTGCTGGGTTGTTTGCATTGATTGGGCGGAATTTCAAGCATGCAAAGCAATACGCACCAAATGTGTATCAAATTGCAGGAAACCTTCGACATAATGCGAAGCCCATGCTCATGCAGTTCAATGAACGTAGGTAGGAGTCGGAGTCAACAGAAAGGCAGATGTGCAATTTTGCATGTGCAATTTTGCTCCCCAGCGCAGGCTTCTCCGCAGGCCTGCTGTGTTCCAACATAGACGAGAGCGAGCTGGAATTCGCAGATTGGCTCAATTGGCTTACAAGCTTTACAGTCGCACCTTTTGCGCTTTCGGAAAACAAGAAGGGGTGCCTCAGCCTCGGACCAAGACTCCTTCACAGCCTTCGCACGGACGCACGTGTCAGCAAGGAAGATTGGGTGGTGGAAGACAGCTTGCTCACGGCTGACAAGGACCTGGCAGATAGCGCGCATTAACACTTACACAGAATTTGCAAGAGGACATGACAGAAAACTGGACGTGTGTTTGTCGACTGGTGTGGCTTCAAAGCAGGAACTGGTAGACCCAGACCGTATTGTTTTCAAGAGAGGCTTGGCTGAAATTGATGGAATCCACGCCAAGCAGGAACCTGTTGGAGAAAGGAGCGACGTTTGGCTCAGGATGGGGACGGGCAATCGCCACAGATTACGACGGCTTCCCGATCTTTTGCAGGCATTCTGGCATTCCCGTGTGTCAATCGTGTTTTATCCATTCAGCCAGTAGATCATTGCTATACTCAGCCCACGTGAGATTTGTGTCCCAAGTGCTCTCCAGGCACCGTAATTTGGCGATGGAACTTATTGAGGGGCGCAACAGAGCTGCAAGAGTGATGAGTACTGTACGAGTGCCGCTAATGTTTGCATATGATAAATATATTCCCTTGGCTGAGGGGGGCGCGGGGGGGTGCGGGAAGGAGTGCGAAAAAGGGGGGGGGTCCGTGCATCTGGGCGGCCGTGCATCCGTCCGTCCGTCCGTTTGCTGTCCGTTCGCATGTCACACTGATTCATGAATAGACATCTCAAACAAATATGGTTCGGGGCCGTTTGGGGGGGGGGTGAGACCCACCGCCAGGGGTACCGTATCCCCGAAGGGAGCAAGTACCTTGTGGTAGTAGAGAATGTATTGGTAGGTCCCCGGATCTATTCTGCAAGAGAGTCCAATATGCCAATAGTGGAGGAACTGAGAATGGAAGTCCCTGGTCCTGATTCATAATGTGTGTGATATATCCCTGCAAGGCGCTCTGCCCTTTTGTAATGGCTGCAGGATGAATGCAACTATAATACAAGATGGGCCTTGAGCCAAATAGCAATGTGTGGTGCAGGGTCAATTGCGAAGCAAAAGCAACACAAAACATACACAATTTCTTTTGACCCTGAACACCAAAATGGCATTCTTGGCTTCACGGCCTTTAGCCGGTGCGCTTGCCGTAGCCATATCGAAATTTAAATCATCCTATTTCTGGCGCGGGTGAAATGTCTTGTTGGGAGAATGGAAAATGCTCTGTACTGATTGGACGAGAAACCTAACCGTATCTAAAACGGAAATGTGAGAAACATTTTGATACACGCGGGATTGTGTGAAACTATTGGTCACTCACAAGCATAGTCTTGATGTGCAGGAGGATCGATTGGAATTTGTGGTGTCGTTTTCTGTGTGATGGTTCTCAGCGTGGATTGTAGTCATAGTAGCTCATCGCTTCTGCGAGTACCAACGGTAGCTGCTATCGGATTATGGGTCAGCACTGCGTCTGACTCCTGATCATCGTAGATGATACCATGCGCGCCATGTGAACGTGTTGTCTTCACTGAGGGGTGCTAGTCCGTCCTGGCTTGATGCCTTGCTGCATGATTTTCCCGATCTGAGTTCCATAGGTGGCATGGAACATGAATGTGACGGCCTTCTTCCTGAACGGAACGATTTTCCTGTCCTGCTCGATGGATTTCGGCGCTGCCGTGCTCTCATCTTCATGGTCTTGATCACGAGGCTTGGATGCGTTGGGCAAGTCGTATGATGGCTCTTTCCAGGCGTTCTTCCACAAGGGTCTTTCCATGGCTTCCAGCTCAACATATCGTGAGTGACCACTGTTGCATCTCACATAAAGCTCTGTGTTGTCGTCGTTGTAGAATGACTTGCCATCAGGCCTGAGTGCATGGAATGCTGCTTGGGCTGTGAGGTTGTCAATCCATCGGTCTCTGGGGACAATCGCGTCCCTTGCTTCCCGTTCTTGGCACGATCCATCAAACTTCGCACACACAAACACTATCTCCAATCTGGATTCTCCAAAGGATGGAAGCATGGTCATCAGGAATATGCCTGGTATGGTGCCGAGGAAGTTTCTCGCATGGGTGATCGCACACAATGCTTCACACAGTTCGCATGATCCATCAAGGTTGAAATGGATTGCCCTCTTCAATTCTCGTCCTTCTCGTGGATGGTGTCAAGGCATTCAGAAAACAGTCTGCTCCACTCTCCAGAGGATGAAGTGGGCGATGGGCTTCGCATAGGACTGATCCACTGAGTAATATACGCAGATGGATTCGTCATTGGTGATGGTCTTGTCCATGTCGATCTGCCCGTTGCGGGTTACCGTTGGTATGGCCTCAGTGCTGAAACTCGTGGGATCGTCGTTGATCAGGCAACACATACCGTAGATCTTCTTGATATAGGCCATGTACGCATTCTCTCCCTGGGTGTTCTCCACAAATGGTAGGTTCCCACAGGTCACATTTGGCTTCCCTCACAGATGCTCTGGAACATAGTTGAATTCTGGATGTTTCTCTTGGATGGTGCGGCACTCACGGTAGTGCCGCTTCACAATGCTCAGAAACTTGTGGTTCCAGAATGGCGAAGGATTCGCGGTATCCCTCAAAATCTTTATTCCCATCTGCTCTGGCTTGTTGGGGCTCACCCACTTGGTTTGTTCAAGGGATGCAGGAGGTGCCTTCATCGTTGGCCGTCTTGGTAATGGTGGCCGTTCTTCATGATGATGCTTGACATTGTCGGATTCCGTCTCTATGGATGGCTGTGCCTTCCGAGGGCTTCTTGTCTTCATCGCTGTCGGAATCTCGATCATAATCTGCCTGCTCCATTGGAATGTCTTCTTCTTCCTGACGGTCGGATTTAGGCTTCTTGTCGTCCTTGGTCTTGCCCATGATGTAATCGGATGCGGATGATTCGTCATCTTCATCGCTCTGGATGGGTGAGTCCTTGAGTGGAGAAGCTCGTCTCTTTCCGGCCGGCTTCGGAGTGGATGGCTTTGACTTGCTGCTTCCGAACAGGCTTGCAAGGAGCGGCATGTCGATGTCAATCGGAAAAAAGCACACACGATCGCAAGGGGAAACTGGCTGCGGATGCAGACACATATTTCTTGAGGTTCAAGAAAGGTCACGTGCGAAACACTCACCACGGCATTGAGGAGTTGAAAACTCATGGACATGTGGATCATGCCCAAGTTCCCCAATAAGCAAACATGGATTCTGCTATCCCGACTCCTGCGAATGCAGTTGGATCGGGTCCGTGCTTCGTATTGCGCGCTAGCCATTCAACCAAAAATGCCTTGTTCTGCAACATGGTGAAGGGTGGATGAGCGTCCACATTCATGAGGTTGCCTGTCAAAACTGCTTTGATGAGCTCATCTGCCTTTGCTGAGTGTTTGGTCAGCGAATCTGCTAGACAATCCTCGCTTCGCACATGTGCGAGATCGTGCATTTGTCCGCTATTGCTCTCCTCTCGCAACATTTGGATTAAGTGCATTGTTTCTTTCTGCTCTGGTTGATGTGTTGTGGATGCTGTTGTAACAAGATTGAAAGCATCTGTGCGGATATGGACATCCGCGATTTCGCCTGTAATGTCTGACCAGAGTCCGCGAAGAAATAAGGCCCAACTGTAACAACGCATCAGTCCGTGCAATTCAGCAACAGTACGACATGGTTGTGGCGGTAATCTTATGCGTCTCATAGTCGACCAGTGAGCCTCCCGAGTTCCTTGTTCTGCAAGAAAGATGTTAAAACCCTCTAGGCCCCGTGCCGAAATTGGGTAGCTGTTCTGAGGTCCTTGTTGGTGTTGCTTCCCAAGTTCCATTGATCGCCATTTGGCTCAAGACACAATTGAGGTTCAAGATCTGATGTGTGACTGCATACATACGTGATCGGCATTGAGAGCGAAAACTCTTGCTTGCGCTGCATTTGTCAGGACCACTGTTGTAACTATCATTCCTTCTCCCTTACAACGTTTACACGGGTTCGGCTATAACGGCATCGTCCGTATACACCTTTCTACGTGGTTGGTATTACAGCTTGAGGGTTCGGTGCATAGCGTCCCACGGGACGTCACCTTGCCGTCTCTTGACAGGTTATCAGCCGTAACTACAAGCTCTACACTGGACTGGGAGACAGCTGGTTTATTGCGGGTACAGGGACAATAAAGGAACGATAACCTACACAGTACAATGGCGTCTTCGGCGAGCCCAAGTACTGCAACTTTTGGGAACAGCAGCTCAGAGGGATCCAATGGATTGATGGCTCTTCCTGCGGTGATGGATATGGTTGCAGATTCACAGGATGAACCTGGGAGCGGAGGTTCCGCGCTATTCAGCGACATATCTACTCCCACAAGATCATGGAAGCAGATCGATGTTCATCAGGAGTCGAAGAAAAGAGAATCCCCACCGAGAAGATCATCATCTTCGCCTGCGACACCACGGACGTCGCAGAAGGGCGTGAGATCGACATCGAAGGGTGGGAGGTCAAAATCACCCACCAGTGCAGATTTTCGCGCCGTGATCAAAGAGAAGAATAAGATGGAGGTGGAGATCGGGGAATATCAGAAGACACTTGATGAGATGTCGGCAGCAATGGCGAATCTTAACCAAGAAGACTATGGAAGCACCATCCGGATCCAGGAGCTGGAAAGACGATGCGAGATTGCCAGCAAGCAGTCGGGACATCTAGTGAGTCACCACCAACACCACATGGCTGAGGCATGGCGCAAGTTTGAGGAAGAAGCCCAACAGATGCGCAAGGTGGAAATGAACGCATTTCAGTACGGGGAGAAGAAAGACATGGAGTCGAATATTATAATGCAACAGATGAGGCAAGCTGAAGGAACTATCATGGAGCAGAAGCGGGAGATTGCATTGATGAAATCCTACATGGCAAGCGAGAAGTCGGCCGCGCAGGAATCAGCTATACGTGCAAATCAGATACACCGTGAGGCTTCACAACAGATATCAGTTTATCAGCAACAGATCAGAGGCATAGAATCTTCTACATCTATCGAGAAGTTCAACGAGGAGGAGATGGTCCAAAGTCTGAAATCACAGTTGGAGCATGCACTCGTCAAGCGCCCCGAGACGTACTCTTTGGAGGACTCCAGGGAACAGCTGATGGCGAGGCTGAATGACGTTACAGTATTTGCGGAACAGGAATCGAAGAGAGCAGATTGCTTGCTTCGCGAAAAAGAAGAGATCGTCAAACAGTATGAGTCCGACGTGTCGATGAAGGACCAGATGATTGCTGTCGAAGGTGGTCATCGTCAGGATGCGATCTTGGAGTTAGCCCAGGTCAAAGAAGAGAAACAAGAGGAACGGTGCACGATGGACGAGAAGTCGAAGGAGGCTGAGTACTGGAGATTGACAGCTAAGGGAATGTACGATGAGTACCTCGAGGAGATGCATGAGCTTCAGAGACAACTGAAAGAAAGAGAGGCGACGCTCAAGCAAGAAGAGAGTTTTGTACGCCAACTCGATGCTGACAACGAGGAACTACGTGCACACAAGAAGCTGGAGACACAGGAAGCCTCCAGCAGCAAA